GGAGTTGGACTCATGGATCCAGTCCCAAATCCTCCCAAACCATGGGCTGGGAATTCCCATCCCAAGGATTCCAGCCTGAATCCAAATCCCGAGGAGTTTCTGTCCCAAAATGGGACAATAAAGGATCAAATCCAAGTTCCAAGGAGGGATCCAAGGAGGAGACACCCAGGACACACATTTGGGAAGTTGGGATTGGGGTTGGATTCATAGCCACATTCCCAAATCCTCCCAATCCGTGGGATTTGCACAGGGAAATCCCATCCCAAGAATTCCAGCCCTGAATCCAAATCCTGAGGAGTTTCTGTCCCAAAATGGGACAATAAAGGATCAAATCCAAGCTCCAAGGAGGGATCCAAGGAGGAGACACTCCGGACACACATTTGGGAAGTTGGGATTGGGGTTGGATCCATAGTCACATTCCCAAATCCTCCCAATCCATGGGCTGGGAATTCCCATTTAAAAATTCCACCCTTAATCCAAATTCTGAGGAGTTTCTGTCCCAAAATGGGACAATAAAGGATCAAATCCAAGTCCTAAGGAGGGATCCAAGGAGGAGACACCCAGGACACACTTTTGGGAAGTTGGGATTGGGGTTGGATTCATGGCCACATTCCCAAATCCTCCCAATCCATGGGATTTGCACAGGGAATTCCCATCCCAAGAATTCCAGCCCGAATCCAAATCCCGAGGAGTTTCTGTCCCAAAATGGGACAATAAATTCCAAGGAGGGATCCAAGGAGGAGACACCCGGGACACACAGTTGATATGTTGGGATTGGGGTTGGATCCATGGATCCAGTCCCAGATCTTCCCAATCCATGGGATTTCCACAGGAAATTCCCATCCCAAGGATTCCACCCCAATTCCGAGTCCTGAGAAGTTTCTATCCCGAAATTTTCCAGGAATGACCCAAAACAAGCTCCAAGGAGGGATCCAAGGAGGAGACACCCAGGACACACATTTGGGAAGCTGGGATTGGGGTTGGATCCATGGTCACATTCCCAAATCCTCCCAATCCATGGGCTGGGAATTCCCAACCCAAAAATTCCACCCTGAATCCAAATCCCGAGGAGTTTCTGTCCCAAAATGGGACAATAAATTCCAAGGAGGGATCCAAGGAGGAGACACCCAGGACACACATTTGGGAAGTTGGGATTGGGGTTGGATCCATGGATCCAGTCCCAGATCCTCCCAATCCATGGGATTTCCACAGGAAATTCCCATCCCAAGGATTCCACCCCAATTCCCAATCCTGAGGAGTTTCTGTCCCAAAATGGGACAATAAATTCCAAGGAGGGATCCAAGGAGGAGACACCCGGGACACACATTTGGGAAGCTGGGATTGGGGTTGGATTCATGGATCCAGTCCCAGATCCTCCCAATCCATGGGATTTCCACAGGGAAATCCCATCCCAAGGATTCCACCTCAATTCCGACTCCAGAGGAGTTTCTGTCCCAAAATGGGACAATAAATTCCAAGGAGGGATCCAAGGAGGAGACACCCGGGACACAATTTTGGGAAGTTGGGATTGGGGTTGGATTCATGGCCACATTCCCAAATCCATGGGATTTGCACAGGGAATTCCCATCCCAAGGATTCCACCCCAATTCCGAGTCCTGAGGAGTTTCTGTCCCAAAATGGGACAATAAATTCCAAGGAGGGATCCAAGGAGGAGACACCCGGGACACACATTTG